TTCTTCTTCTTCTTCTTCTTCTTCTTCTTCTTCTTCTTCTTCTTCTTATTATTATTATTATTATTATTATTATTATTATTATTATTATTATTATTATTAATTTTTATTTTATATTTTATTCTGTAAGTGTTTGTGTGTGTAAAGAAAGAGACAGAAAGCGCAAAATTAGCACCTAGATTTCAACTGTGGTGTGCAGGAACCAGCTGGGTTGCAAGATTGGTAGTTTAGCTATATCCATAATTTTGCTTCTCAACAGGACAAAAAGAGCTTTGCACGGTATGTAGAGTGAACAGTTAATCAGAGATCAATTGTCAGGGAACTGGAACAATGACAAAGTGTTAAAACCTCCTTCCCCAACTGCTCCAATCCAAATAATCCCAACAATTGTTTGATCTTTCTACAGTTATTGAATGAAGGCAGCCATGGATGAAGCTAGAAAATGTCTCATCTGTGGTGGAAGGAATTTGTTTATAGAATGAGGGTGCTCAATTCTACATCAGCTCAGACTGTTTCATGTAAAGGGTGATTTGTTCAGCTGCTTTTTAAACAATAATAACCCTTCAATGAAACAATTTTGCCATAAGACATAAATATGCCATATCTTATGGGACATGACGCACCTTCCCTTTGATAGCATTTGTCTTACTGAGCTTTTATCATTGATGAAATAGTCCAAATGTAATCTTTAGCCTGAAGGCTGATCTTCAATTCAAAATGGTAAATTAGAAAAGCCTGTCAAAATATCATTATATAGTAATTATTCTAATGTCCCAGCTGTATAGTTAATAAGGAAGATTGGACATTTTTAGACCATTGATCCCAGTTCCCTAAGTCTATTAACAATTCCCATTCCAATCAATGAATTAGTGCAGGATATACATGGAAGCGCCCAAAAAAGCAGAGATGCCTGGCCACAAAAGAGGGCACGATATGTAGGAACAAATATTGTATAATATAGATATTCAATAGATCTCATCAAAATAGGGAAGATAAATCAATGTGCTTGCTGTTCAGGGGTTCACTGATAAGCAACTTCACCCTCTTTTCTTTTCCTTTACAGTCCTTCAATAAGATGTAGAGTGGAAAAGAGAAGATGCTTCTCCAGAAAACACTTTCTAACAGAGAAATGTCCCTTGCCAGCCTCCAACTAAGGGGCAAGGCTGTAAAAAAAAGAAATGGCCACACTATCACAAACACCTAAATAAAAACAAAGCTTTTTTAGGTTATTCAGATATTCATTTGATGAATCTCATAGATGCAGTGATGTTATTAAAACATTCCTTCTTGGACACCTCTCTGCTGAGATAGAACTTATTCTCCAAATGTCAAAAGAATCCCATCCACATATATGAAGGGTATTTCTAGTAGATTTGCAAGGAAAATTTTTTTTTAAATCATCATCATCACCACCATCACGATGGCATTCACAGACAAAAAAACTTTGGTTCATGACCTTGAAAGTAACATAATAATCAGGAGAGTATTTTGAAATGGAGCTTTGCCAGCTGTATATGAGTATTCTATAATGTAGTTTTCTGTTGCAGAACAAGATACAGCAAGTGATATATGAAACTTAAAAGAAATCCAATTCACTTTATATTGCAATAGAAAACAACAGGAAAATAAACAATTTTTATGGTGCTTTCATTGAAATTCTGCTCTTTTCAAACAAATAGTGCATGTTGTGAATTAAAATAAATCTCTTTAATTTTTTTTAAAAATAATAATTTCAAGAACAATAGTTTTTTGTGTTTTTATTTTTTTAAGCTATTGTATTTGTATGGCTCCCATTTTACAAGACCATGATTCTGGGCTGCTTACAGTTAATAGATTTAGTTTTTAAAGAACATTACGCTAGCAAGAATGGATTGTATATTTAATTGAACACTAACAATAGATCAGTTTCAAGTTTTTTATATACTTTTGAAATGTTTCCATAAACATTAATACTTAATTAATAAAACTCCTATTGCTTTGTCTTTTACATTCATTGAGATATAAACATTAACACAGAGGAATTTACTGAACACAGCATAACTGACAGGAATTTGCATGGCAAACTAAAATGTTGCTGTTTGTTTAAAGCATTAGGAAAGACACAATCGGATTCTAAAGCTAATAATCCTTTTGCACATGTGCCAGGAAATTAAATACAGAAGAGATTTTTAGAAGAAAAGATAAACCGTATTATAATGTATAGTGGAACATTTTGTCACTAGACGAGGACTTAAATTCGCATGACTTATTTTATTTTATCATTCTAAATATAGTCTGATAAAAGTAGACATACAGGCACAACGTATTAGCTATTGGATACTTAATTTCCCAAAATCATCACATACAAGATGAAAATTTTCAAATGTCCAAACTAGTAAACAAAACGTAACAATTTAAAATTTTAACTCTGACACTTCTCAAGAATACAATACTTTATGGCAAAATCCATCCAGAATGGAAAAATATATCAACAGATCCAAACTACTATATTCATAATGCATGTGTTAAATTGAATTACAATTTAACAACATATGGAAGGGCCACAACCTCAAGGACAGCTAAAAGCTCAATCATTTCTTATATTGGATTAAATAAACCTACAACCCAACCATCTTTGTTAATGAAACGTTGAATAATTCTTGCAGTAAACACAGCTTATTTTGTGCTAACATAAACAATGTCAAAACTAACACCATCCAAAGTTTCAGTATTTAAAACAATTAGCTTACATTCAATGAGATATAATACACTGCTCAAAAAATTAAAGGGAACAATAAACAATTTGGTTTCAGAAAAAAGCTATCCTGTAATCTGCAACTCTTACACTGCAAAAACATATGGACTACACAACTTGATCAGGGCAAAACAATAGATGCAATCTACATAGACTTCTGTAAAGCCTTTGATTCAGTGGTACATGACAAACTACTACTAAAAATAAAATCCTATGGTATCTCTGGACAACTGCATAACTGGATAGAAGCATTCCTGTCAAACAGACAACAAATGGTCAAAATTGGGAGTGTCCTATCAAATTCTGTACCTGTCAATAGTGGTGTCCCCCAAGGCAGTGTTCTAGGACCAACTCTCTTCATACTCTACATAAATGACCTCTGTGATCATATTAAGAGCAACTGCGTTCTTTTCGCTGATGATGTAAAGCTGTTCAATACCACAGACAATACTGCTACCCTTCAAAAAGATCTTGACTATGTATCAGAATGGTCAAACAAATGGCAACTTCAAATCTCAACAAATAAATGCTCTGTCTTACATATTGGCAAAAAAAATCCGAAAATAAAATACAAGCTGAATAGTCAAGATCTTGTTGATGATCCAAGCTCTGTAAAGGACCTTGGAATACTCACCTCTAATGATCTAAGTGCTAGTGCCCACTGCAACTACATAGCCAAAAAGGCATTAAGAGTTGTTAACCTAATCTTACGTAGCTTTTTCTCTGGTAATATCACACTACTAACTAGAGCATACAAAACATTTGCTAGACCAATACTCGAATACAGCTCATCAGTCTGGAACCCACATTACGTATCTGATATTAGCACAATTGAGAAAGTCCAGAAATATTTCACAAGAAGAGTTCTCCACTCCTCTACTCGTTGTAGAATACCTTATGCCACCAGACTTGAAATTCTAGAACTAGAAAACCTTGAATTACGCCGTCTTCGGTCTGATTTAAGCATGGTATATAAAATCATACATTGCAATGTCCTACCTGTCAATGAATACTTCAGCTTCAACCATAACAACACAAGAACACACAACAGATACAAACTCAAGGTTAACCGCACCAAGCTTGACTGCAGGAAATACGACTTTAGCAACAGAGTGGTCAATGTCTGGAATACTCTACCTGACTCTGTAGTTTCTTCCCCAAACCCCAAAAACTTTAACCTTAGACTGTCTACTATTGACCTCACCCCTTTCCTAAGAGGTCTGTAGGGGGCGTGCATAAGCGCACCAACGTGCCTACCGTCCCTGTCCTATTGTTTCTTTTATTTTTCTTTTATTTTTCTTATATGTACTCATTTCATGTATTCATAATTATGTATACACTTTTACTTATCTCGTAAACAATTGACAAATAAATAAAATAAAAATAAATAAAAAATAAACACAATGTAACTCCAAGTCAATCACACTTCTGTGAAATCAAACTGTCTACATAGGTAGCAACACTGATTGACAATCAATTTCACAGGCTGTTGTGCAAATGGAATAGACAACAGGTGGAAAGCATAGGCAGTTAGCAAGACATCCCCAATAAAGGAGTGGTTCTGCAGGTGGTGACCACAGACTACTTCTCAGTTCCTATGCTTTCTGGCTGATGGTTTGGTCACTTTTGAATGCTGGCGGTACTGTCGCTCTAGTGGTAGCATGAGACAGAGTCTACAACCCACACAAGCGGCTCAGGTAGTGCAGCTCATCCAGAATGGCACATCAATGTGAGCTGTGGCAAGGTTTGCTGTGTCTGTCAGTATAGTGTCCAGAGCATGGAGGCGCTACCAGGAGACAGACCAGTACATCAGGAGACATGGAGGAGGCCGTAGGAGGGCAACAACCCAGCATCAGGATCGCTACCTCTGCCTTTGTGCAAGGAGGGACAGGAGGACCACTGCCAGAGCCCTGCAAAATGACCTCCAGGAGGCCACAAATGTGCATGTGGCTGCTCAAATGGTCAGAAACAGACTCCATGAGAGTGGTTAGGAAGGCCCGATGTCCACAGGTGGGGGTTGTGCTTACAGCCCAACACCGTGCAGGACGTTTGGCATTTGCCAGAGAACACCAAGATTGGCAAATTCGCTACTGGTGTCCTGTGCTCTTCACAGATGAAAGCAGGTTCACACTGAGCACATGTGACAGATGTGACAGGGTCTGGAGATGCCATGGAGAACTTTCTGCTGCTTGCAACATCCTCCAGCATGAATGGTTTGCCAGTGGGTCAATAATGGTGTGGGGTGCCGCACAGCCCTCCATGTGCTCGCCAGAGGTAGCCTGACTGCCATTAGGCACCGAGATGAGATCCTCAGACCCCTTGTGAGACCATATGCTGGTGCAGTTGGCCCTGGGTTCCTCCTAATGCAAGACAATGCTAGACCTCATGTGGCTAGAGTGTGTCAGTAGTTCCTGCAAAACAAAGGCATTGATGCTATGGACTGGTCTGCCTGTTCCCCAGACCTGAATCCAATTGAGCCCATCTGGGACATCATGTCTCGCTCCATTCAGCAATGCTTCGTTGTACCACAGACTGTCCAGGAGTTGGGGGATGCTTTAGTCCAGGTGTGGGAGATCCCTCAGGAGACCATCCGCCACCTCATCAGGAGCATGCCCAGGCATTGTAGGGAGGTCATTCAGGCACGTGGAGACCACAAACACTGCTGAGCCTCATATTGACTTATTTTAAGGACATTACATCAAAGTTGTACCAGCCTGTAGTCTTTTTTTCCACTTTGAGTGTAACTCCAAATCCAGACCTCCATGGGTTGCTAAATTTGATTTCCATTGATAATTTTTGTGTGATTTTGTTGTCAGCACATTCAACTATGTAATGAACAAAGTATTTAATAAGAATATTTCATTCATTCAGATCTAGGATGTCTTTTTATGTTCCCTTTATTTTTTTGAGCAGTGTATATAATCTCAAGTATAGGGTATGCAAAACATTCAGTCTGGAACCATTTCAAGTGTATAATTTGAAACAATGCCCTGCCATAAGCATGAAATTGAAATGTACTGTAATGTGGGTTGATTTCAGCATTTTGGAATTGTCTAGACTTCGATTTGCCCTCAAGGCAATTGTACTTCCTGCAATAAAATCTGCCATTCATGTTTGGATAGAAAGGAAATTTTATCCCCCATTTCCTTAAAAAAATATATACTTGAGATATCACTATTTTGAGAAATGCAGAAGAAACATTTTTTAAACTAAGCAATTTGGAGCAGAAATATCAAATCTGAACTTTGTTGCAGTTAAAGGCTAATATTTATTATATCACAGTATTTTTCATTAGTATGTAAGATTCTTAGATTATTATTGGAAAAAGTTTTGAATCCTTTGAGAGACAGCTGAAAAATATTATGGAGACAGGTACAGTGTGTCATTTGCAAGGAAAGTGGAATAAGAAGATGGAATACCTTGTTTTAATCGAAACAACTTTACTAAATTTCCCTTTTAAATAGATCAACACTTGAACCTAATCAAAAAGCCCAAAATATAGTATGGTATTTTCCTAACTGTTTTATCAACAGCTTTGGTAATTCTAAATTCTGATTCAAAAACAGCGCTGCAAAGAGAGCAAGGAAGCTCCACCGTTGCAGCGGTTGTCTGATCAAGCCCACGGGTTTTGTTTTGTTTTGGGGAGGGCTGAGTAGAGGAAACAGGCATCCTGGGGCAGCTTCGTTTCTCTCCTTCCATTTCTTTTTCTTTCGTCACTGGGCGCACTGTAGTAGAAAGAACATCCGAGAGAGGATGCTGAGGCTGATGATATCTTTAAAGGCACATTTGGTACAGAACTGGGACACCCAGACCTGTAGCTCGTCCCCAAGAAGAACCCGGGCAGGACCGCTGAGGCACTTGGCTTAGAGAAGCCCGATTGCTCGCTGCCCTGCCAACCTTCGCTGTGTGGCCTCACTGCTTTTCACCGCCTTTCACAGATAGATGCTCGCGGGAGAAGCGACGCCAGGCTGTTGCCCATAAGCGTCGTCTTACGTGCCCCCCCCCCTCTCCATCCGGCACAGCTTTCCACCCCCACCCCCCCGCCGGGCCTGGTCCAAACGAAGCTCCGCCCCCCCGCCCCCCCCCCCAGCTCCTGTG